TAATAGTATATAAATTAAAATTATCTTTTAATTCTTAAAGACCAACTAGGACTTATTAGGACTTTTACCAACCCTAACAGTATGCTTTGATTATGCATTGACTGATTCGAAGCAAAGAGCTCTGAAGGTATATATGAACACTTTTTATGGGAAAGCTGGAAACTCATTATCTCCTATCTTTCTTCGTGCATTAGCTGGAGGAACTATTTCAGCAGGAAAATACAACCTTAATCTTGTCACAAAATTTGTAACGAAGAAAGGGTTTGGGATAAAATATGGAGATACCGATTCTTTATATCTCACCTGCCCAGAAAAGTATTACAAAAAATGTGATGAAGCCTTCTCCAGAAAAGAACTTTCTAAGGAAGCATACTGGACTGAAATGGTTGAAATCACTATGAATGTAATGAAAACTTACGTGATCAAGTAAATGGTTATCTTAGGATAAAAAGTGGCATATCTTGTCTTAAGATGGCATACGAAGAGGTATTATTTCCCGTCTGCTTCACCGGCAAGAAAAAATATTTCAGTGTATCACATGAAGAGGTGGTCAATTCTAGGTTAGATAATCTCTTTATGAGAGGAATTGATACTATGAAGCAAGGGAATTCTGAGCTTTTTAGATTTATCAGAGAAAAGATTATGTGGGAGGCTATGGGTATCAATAACACACATTCAATTCACGAAATTGTTGAAGATGTTCTCCGAGATGCTAGATTTAGGCAGTGGGATTTTAACCAGTTTGTTATAATATCTAAATGGAAGGCTAAAGGAGGCCTCGCATGCAATAAAATCTTTATAGAACAGATGAGAGAAAGAATAGCAAGCAGAGAAAAAAATATAAAGATCTCTGACTCTGGCGAGCAGTTTAGCTATATTGTAGTGAACAATGGTTTCCGCTATAAAGAAGATGGTACGAAATCAACAAGGAAGGGCAATTATATGGAGTTCGCAAATATTGCGAAAGAGTTTAATATGGAGATAGATATCAGGTACTATTTAGAACAAACTATAAGGATGTACGCACGCTTCATGAATGAAGATGATAGTTTTCAACCACCCCTATCAAATAAAATAATGCAGATTAAAGATTTGGACAAAAGAGAAAAGGATATCGATGATTATTCCCAGAAAAAAGCAAAAAACTGGCTTATAAGATATATCAAGAGCCTTCAATAAACTTTCTAGGTATTTCAATCATTTGTCTGAAGCCAATATAAACGATATCATTGAATTATATGGATAAGTACTCTTAGCGGGATATGGCAATTTCAACTAAGAATACTTAGCTGTTAAGGCGCTTCATATAATATTATTTACATATTTTTTTCTTGTGCAATAATACCGGCTAACTTCAATTCCTATCTTCGAACTTCCAGCCTCCAATCACATAGTCTGGCTTTGAATATATCTGGTCAAGTTTAATTTACTTTTCTGAATTTGCATATATCCAGATCGATTCTTCTGACCATACTTGTCTGAAGCTGATGATTACTACCGCAAATTTCTGTACGTGATATTCTATTATACCTATAAAATGTAAGATAATATTGATACTAAAGTCTTAGCATACGCCTGGAGACGAGAAGGTAAATGCTTAGCTAAAGTTAGTACTAATTCTAATACACATTTATGGGCATATAAAAAAGGTCATCAATAGGAGGTGCCATATAAAAATATGAAACAGAATCATAGATGGTGTAATATTTGCCCTAATGTACTAGAAAGAATATGTCGGTATATATTTGAAGATTTATTGAATAAAAAATTCCCACTTTGAAAACCTAAATTTTTAGAAGGTTTACACCTAGATGAATACAATGAAGAACTAGGTTTGGCCTTCGAATACAGTGGTAATCAACATTATCAAATCGTGCCTTTTTTTCACCTTCAAGAACAAATGAATCTAGATGTACAAATCTAGTGTGATTGGGAAAAGAAAGCGTTATGTTATCAGGAAGGAATAATCCTTATTACAATTCTTTACTACGTAGTAGACTTAGAAACTTTTATAAGGAGCGCCTTGTGCGTATTCAGTTATCTCTCAATACCCACCTAGGAGGCAACATAGGCTCTTCCTTAATATGCATTAATTGTTCTCTTACAAAGGGACGCTGAGGTCCTGAATCATCTAAATAATATAAAACAGGCATTGAAGGATTCTTTCCAACAACAATTCTTCAGATTTTATATAGACTAGGTGACCATATCGGATCTGTTATTCTGCATCGTTCGAAAGGATCATTTTCCCATTCTCCCTTAGCAAGTAAAAATTGGACAGCGGTACCTTTTGGTAACTGGGGTTCATCAACACCTATTGGGCGATTATATTTTACCGATGGTTTGGAATATATCTGATCAAGTTTTGTGGCATTATTAGGGCTCATTTCAATTAATCGAGTTGGACTATCATTCATATTATCAACAATTCTTCTCGCAAATCGTTCACATTCCCTGCAACGTTCGCCAGTAGGTAAGAGAAATTCTACCGAATACTGATTTTTAAAAACTCTATATTCGAATGATCCAGCATAATGGTCAACTATAGCAAAGCTTGTATGTTTGAAACGTGCTATAATTCTTCGAATTTCAATGCCATGCTCATCCATTAATAAAGTCACGTATCCCATAAACTCAGTGTTCTTATCGCATTGTAGTTTTCGAGGCCAGTTAAGGGGATTATCAGGATTATCATATATACTTTTAATAGCTTTTGCAACTTCTTCACTACTTTTTGACGTTAAAAAAATGAAATCTTTATACCTAGTTACGCAGTCTATAACCAACAATATATAGTAAAAGATTGGACCATCGTCTAATAAATTTATATTCACATCATCATAAGGTATTTTGATCAAATCACACTGATATATAGTATTTGGTTTTGTGATTCTAGAATAGCTAACATAAGGTATATGCTTTGGTGAAGAACGAAAAATTTGATACATTGCCTGCTTATCAAGCCATTTTTTTACATTAGTAAATGGAAAGCTATAGTCAGCTTTTTTATAAGCATCCCATAATCCCTTAATATTTTGGTAAAGGCCTTCAGGTTGATAATACATCTTCTGTAAGGCAATATTTCAGTCAAGATAATGCGCTTTTTGAGGATCGATATAAATTAAGGGTTCTCCCATTCTGAATCTCTTTTATAATAATGAAAAAAAAGAATGACATTTCACAGACCTAATCCAAGGCAGAGAAAAACATGTGAAGAGTATAAAGCTGAGTTGGAGGAGGATAACTATCATCTTCTAGATGCATTACAGACAGAGGTAGAAAATAATCGCCTAAATGAGAAACGGTTCAACCAACTGGAGCGTGAATATAGTCAGTGTGAGCAGGAAATCCAAGATCTCAATAAAGACATAGAGCGTCTTGAGAATGCTTCAGAAGAATAGATAGCAGAGCTAAGATCCAAAATCTCCAGTCTAAAAAGTCAGCTATATCAAGCTAGGAAAGTTGTGCAAGATAAGGAACAATATATCTCTATCTTAGAAGAGCGATTGGTAAAATCTGAGGAACAGGTAGAGAAATTGAGATGCAGAAATAAGGTCATTTTATCACGAAAAAATTCACCAGTATGAGGGAATTCTTCTGATCAATATAATTCCAATGATAATATGGCTATAATCACAGAGCTAGCAAACGCTATAGATGGTTATCTAGATAATTCAACAATAGATAAAGAAATCTTGGCCGGTCAAATAAAAAGGACAACAAGACAGATTCGTCAAAAAGAGAATAATTTGCATCAGGACTTAGCTCATGAGCAACGAAGACGATATAATGCTAAGGCTGAAAGGAATAATGAAATAATATGAAGAAATCTTACTGAAGGAGTAGAACAAAGAGTTATTGATGACTTTCAAAAGTTGTGGACTAATGCTCAGAATCTGGCAAACAGAAAGCAAACCCATATTGGTGAATTATTATGAGAAAAAATAGCCTTTCGGCTAATAAATCAAAGGCGTAAAGCTGAGGCTGACTTAGCAGAATTCAACCGAGCCTGAGTATTTAATCGGTATCAAAAATGGAAGGCTCAGGAATTAATCTCTTGCCAGAATATTTTTAATTTACAGGAACAAATTTTAGCATTACAGAATAATCCACCAAATCAAATAAATATGGCAGGAATCCCACAACCATTTTTAGACTGGGGTGATAGTATTCCAGATTTTTTAGCAAAACTTAAATTATATTTGTAAAATCAAGGTGTAAATCCAGCAGATAATGCAGGAGGTCCACTTACAGGAAGAGAAGTAGCTATAGGATATTTGAGAGGATGTATGAGAGGAAGAGCCTTAGAATGGTTTGACGAAGAAATTACTACAAAACAGAATTGGGAATTAGCAAACTTACTTGATAATATAGGGCAGGGTAACTTAGTAGCAGTAAATAGGCAAACAGATCTTCAGATAGGAAATCAAGCAATAAATGAAGCTTTTGGTCAACCAGGAACTACAATAATCAAATTGAGAGTTGTAGAAGGCCCTTGGGATGAAGATTGGCGTATAGCAGGTGGTCGTCCTACTAATCTTGCTGTAAATGCACCAAATGCTAATAATGGTACTATAGTAGTTATAGCCGGTATTCGATTTAGTCAAGTTATAGGGTGGCTGAAAACTCGTTTCCCTACAGTAGAAGAGAAGCTTCGGGATTTGATGTATGGAACAATTAGAAAGGAAGACATGAATGATTATAGATGATTTATATAGAAAAATAGTACGAATAGGTAGACAAGCTAACTATAGACCTGAAAAATTACGTAGAAAGTTTTTAGATGCTCTTTTCCTTCTATAGCTTGAAAAAGCTGAAGATATCAGTGAACATTTGCCATTAGATGAATTAGCTAAAAAGCTTTATGAGATAGAATTACACCAAATAGCAAGACATAAAAGAGATAGTGGCATATCAGACTCACTAGTATCTCATCATGCATCTCAGCAAATATATGAACCTTCACCTGTTTCAGTCTCGCAACAATAAGGAATATTTTTAGAAGATATGCAAAAAGCAATTCAGAATGCACTAGCACAGCAAAAAACTGAATACCAGTCTTTATTAGAAAAGCAAAAATCTGATTTTCAATCGCAAATGGCTCAGCAAGTAACTACTCCACAAACTGTTGAACCGATTAGACAGCCGAAAGGTCTACCATCTACATTGAAAACAGAGAAAGGTCTCAAGAATTATTATGTAGCTAAATACTTAAAAGAAATAGATCTACTTAATAAGGAAGATTTGGACTCAGATTATCCTGTAAAGCCTTTTCAAAGACCCTGTTCTCAACGAAACAATAACTCTACTAGATTTGATAGGATTGAAGTAGGATTTGAGAAAACTCAGAATAATATAAATCAGTTAGCTAATAAATTTCAGAAACTAAATATACGTAAATGTGATATTTGTGGGGAAATGGGTCATAGCAAAGGAAGTTGTCCAAAAAGACCAATAGCTCAATCTAATTTCACTCGGTCTTATTTTATGTCTCTTATACCAATAGTTCCTCCCGATTCAAATGGTGAGGAAAATAATGGGAATGGTTATGAAAAAGCAGATAATGATTGGTATTATGCACTGGAAAAAAAAACAGGCACCAGTAAATAAAAGCTTACATGGTGACTCTGCTATCCCTTCTTCTGATCTAGTAACTAGCCAACCTGAAACATACGATCAGCTATTGTCTAAGCTCTCATCACTAATACGAAAAATGTGCTTGTCTCAAAAGGCTCAGAAGGAGGAATCGAAAGAATCAAATGAGTGGTTGTCATCTTTACAATATCTGAATGCTAATATAAATGACTTAACTATCTCCGAATCTTTTTTAGATACCGGCAGTAAGTTAGGTGGTTTAAATGACCCAGCAATCAAGACGTTTGGATGGAAAGCTGATAAACCATCTAATTTTACCATAAAGGGCAATTCCAAGCATATCACTGATTTATTAAGATGGTTTACAGATGTGCCAGTTACCTTAAAGGATAAAGAAGATAAGACAGTCACAGTTATTGGAAATTTTGTTCGTATTGATAATGGTAAAACAGAACTAATGCTATTTTTTGGTATGTCAAACATTCGAAAGGTTCAAGGCGTTCCCGAACCAAATAAAAACCAGTTTCGCATAAAGTTATATGGAAAAGCATATATTATCCCAACCTTTAGCAAGACTCCGATAGTCAAGGATCCGTCAAAAGAGGAGCATGAATCATCACCTCAGGTATCCGCTAACTCTTCTGATCTAACTAGTGAGAAGGACCTAAAAAAAGTGCATAAACTGTGCAAAGCTTGAAGAACGTCTTGCAAAAGCTGAAGAGTGGCTTGGTAAAGCAATAAGTGCTATAAAAATG